GCTGACTCTGTAAACCACTTAGAGAAGGCTGCAAAGCATGCTGAAGTGGTATATAAGTCTGAGTGCTACTGCTATCTTCCTTCCTTCCTTCCTTTCTTCCCAGTGGTTAGAATGCAATATTGCAGGCTGATTCTGCCCACTGCCAGCAGTTCGATCCTGACCAGCTCATCGTTGACTCAGCCTTCCATCCTTCCGAGGTCGGTAAAATAAGGACCCAGATTTTTGGGGGGCAACAGGCAGACTCTGTAAACCACTTTGAGAGGGCTGCAAAGCATGCTGAAGTGGTATATAAGTCTGAGTGCTACTGCGACCGCACAGCGCCTGGAGTGACCCATCAGCAGGCGGAGAAGTTCCGTTGTCCATCTTCTCCCTGGCTTGTATCTCTGAGGCTGACCTCACTAGGGCTGCATGCAAATAAGGCTTCAGAAGCCGCCATCCCTTCCCACTGCGTGGGAAACCATCTGCCAATCAGGCTCCTTTCAGGAAAACGGACGGAACTGTCCTTAATCCCTTCTCCATCACTGGCTGGAAGTTCTCTGGCTTACATTCCCACCCAAAGGCCTGGCCCGCTTCCTTGGCGGTCCTGCCGCCTCTGCCCACACCGCCCACTGCCAACCGATGGCCACCTGTGTCTTTTCTGTTGCTCAGGGGGTAGCATCCCTGCCAACTGGCCTTCCTTTCCAAAATGGGAGATTTGCCGGATCCTTCAGCAGAGGCTGCGGTTGGAACAGAGCAATTTCTCCGTGCTTCTGCGTCTCTCGGCACCTTCCAGAATTCTGTTATCAGTGGTGACCAGTGCATCGCTTTAAAAAAAAAAAAAATCTTTCCTTCCTTGGAAAAAAAAAACCTGACCGATTTGGCTTCCTGTTGTATCTAATCGTCTCTTCCCTTTTCAGGAAGTAATGCAAAGAAAAAAAAAACAGATTTTTTTTTGCCTCTGCCTCTCCTCTCTACCTCAATTGCCATTTGCCTGGTTGTAGAAAGCTTTCCAGAATGAAAACTTAGGCTGGAACTATGTTATACAATAAGGAAGACAATCTTTAAAAATCTAGTGGAGTTTGTCTCCTGTATACAAGAAGATGGCATCATATAAATGGAGTCCACTTAATCCCTATGTTGTCCCAGTTTATTTAACCCCCCCCCCCAACCAGGTGTCTGCTGCGCCTCAAATTACAATTCCTATCCTGGTGGGAGAAGAGGCACGTTGTAGCTATGTGATGGGTTGGAATTAAAAGCTTCTTTCAGAATAATCTCTGGAAGGCAGGAAGTGGAATATGAAGAGTGCAGAGAAGAGCAACAAAGGGGACTGGAGGCTAAAATGTATAAAGAACGGTTGCTGGGATTGGGCATGTCTAGCCTGGTGAAAAGAAGGACGAGGGGGGACAGGATAGCAGTGTTCCAGTATCTCGGGGGCTGCCCCGAAGAAGAGGGAGTCAAGCTATTCTCCAAAGCACCTGAAGGCAGGACAAGAAGCAATGGATGGAAGCTCATCAAGGAGAGAAGCAACCTAGAACTAAGGAGGGATTTCCTGACAGTGAGAACAATTAACCAGTGGAACAACCTGCCTCCAGAAGCGGTGAATGCTCCATCAGTGGAGGTTTTTAAGAAGAGACTGGACAGCCATTTGTCTGAAATGGTATAAGGTTTCCTGCCTGAGCAGGGGGTTGGACTAGAAGACCTCCAAGGTCCCTTCCCACTCTGCTATTCTATTCTATTCTATTCTATTCTATTCCATTCCATTCCATTCCATTCCTTTCCATTCTATTTCTATTCTATTCCATTCCATCTCTGTTCTATTCTATTCCATTTTCTATTCCATTCCATTCCATTCTATATTCTATTCTATATTCTCTTCTCTTCTATTCCATTTTCTATTCCATTCCATTCTATATTCTATTCTATTCCATTCTATTCTATTCTATTCTGTTCTATTCTATATTCCATTCCATTCCTATTCTATTTTATTCTATTCTATTCTAGTCTATTCTATTCTATATTCCATTTTATTCTATTCTATATTCCATTCCATTCCTATTCTATTCTATTTCTATTTATTCCATTCCATCTCTATTCTATTATATTCCATTTTCTATTCCATTCCATTCCATTCTATATTCTATTCTATATCCTCTTCTCTTTTCTTTCATTTTCTATTCCATTCCATTCCATTCTATATTCTATTCTATTCTATTCTATTCTATTCTATTCTATTCTATTCTATTCTATTCTATATTCCATTTTCCATTCCATCCATTCCATTCTATTCCCTCCCACAGAGAAATAATACTCCAAGGAAGAGTTGGCATATACTTGTGCAAATCAGAGAGGTAACCTTGATGCTTATTTTGCTAGCATGTTTTTCCAAAGCTATTTCTGCTTTGCAGGTTTTCTTCTGCCCCAACCCACTCTGCAGACAACGAGCTGTGCAAAAGAGACTAGCACACTTGTCTTATCCAGCCAGGTATCATATCCACACAGGTAAATGTCTGTCTGGAGGCCATTTCTGGAAGACGTGGCCTTTTGGAAGCAGTGTGTAATGAGCTTGTAATGGGAAATAACAACCTGGGTGCTCACAGGATGACGCCTTTAATCCAGCGCTGTCCATTTCCAACCCAGGCTGTTCTGTTAAAATTAATCGCCACCTTTGGGTCTGCATAAGCAACTAGCCTAACGGAGTCCTCTCCTTACCGTCTCCTCTCCTGAAATTAAACCGGGTTTAATTTAAACCGAGTCTTGAAGCTTGCAGGCAACGACCAGGACTTGGCAACGGAAACTCCCTTTGGCCAGTTCCTGGGATTCCAGCTCCTGGTTTTCTTATTACGCACTTCCCCAGGTCAGAGAAAGCCCTGGCTGCATTCGCACAACACACGGCTTTGTTAGTGTTCTCCCCGCTTCACGTTTAATGGATTCATGCATAATGCATTTCCTGATCGTTTGGTGAATTTATAGTCCGCATAACTAGGTTTTATTGGAGACGGCAACTCATCTGGAAGGCAGTGAGGGCCTCTCTGTTTCTACTCCTGTATCCTTCCATTGTTCAGGTTATTTTGCTGTTTCCCTAATGAATCTACAAGGATTGTCCCCCCCCCCTTTAGGGGCTTTCTGGGACTGGCACGGAGGGGCTCACGACATGGACTCTGAAACTGGTTAACTAACGTAGTTACTCTGTATTTTAGCATGCAAAAAAAAGCTAATACAATCCTTGGTTGTATAAAATGGTATAGAATCAAGATCACGCGAAGCGTTAGCACCGCTTTATAAAGCCTTGGTGAAGCCACGCCTGGGATACTGCATCCATTTTGGGTCACCCACATTACAAAAAAGATGTTGAGGCTTTGGAAAAAGTGCAAAGAAGAGCAACTAAGATGATCAAGGGCCTGGAGACTAAAACATACGAAGAACGGCTGTAGGATTTGGGAACAGCCAGTCTAGAGAAAAAGAGGATTAGGGGTGACATGATAACAGTATTCCAGTATTTGAGTGGCTGCCACAAAGAAGAGGGGGTCGAATTATTCTCCAAAACACCAGAGGGCAGGACGAGAAATAATAGTTGGAAACTAACCAAGGAGAGAAGCAACCTGGAATTAAGGAGAATCTTCCTAACAGGGAGAACAATTAACCAATGGAACAGCTTGCCACCAGAAATTGTGGGTGCTCCATCACTGGGGGGGGGGGTTAAGAAGAGACTGGACAGTCACTTGTCTGAAATGTTATAGGATCTCCTGCTTGAGCAGGGGGTTGGACTAGAAGACCTCCAAGGTCCCTTCCAGCTTTATGCTGATTCTTAAATTTGACTTATTTCTCTCTCTTTTAAAATGGTGTTAAGGCTCCTTGCAGACTGGAATGTTTTATCCTATTGCTGTATGGATTGATTGATAGTTTTCAACATTCCTATACTGAAAAAAAAAATAAAGTACAGAAGGAATGGGTGGCGAATATCTCCCGATAAGAGGAAATTTTGTCAGTGCAAATTGGCGTCTGGATTGTCTCTTTGTGAACCTTTAAATTTTACGCCCCTTCTGACATCAGACCTCATGTTAATGAACACGTGTGATATTATGGGATGCAAATACGTAGCATGTTCGACGACAAGCGACTGATTCCCTACGCAATGGGGAGGCTAACTTCGGTCCTGTCCAATCGCCTTTCATCTTGCATCTTCTTTGATGTCTTAACTATAAAAGGGAACGTAAGGTGGATCTTGGGGTTCTTTCCACAGGGAGATCCCACTTTATCAGGGCACCCCAATAAACTGCTTTTAAATGATCTTCCGACTCGGTTGCTTAATTGGGACAGGTAAACTGAGGCAGAACCCAGCGTCAGATTCGGCACAAAGTGGGATGTTTTGTTGGCGATTGTAACGCACACCTGAACGAGACCCTTTGCGCAGGCGTCCTCATGCTTTGTAAGGTAAAGAAGCCCCCATTTCTCTCTCTCTCTCAAGATGGAGAACAGAGAAGATGCAAAGAGAAGGAAACTATTGACCCAAAGAAGAATGTGGGGAAAAAAGTGCAAAATATGGGGCCCACAGCGTCTGGAGAGACCCCAAAACTTTCTTTCTGCCCTGGCACTATCCTTCTGTGCTCAGTTAAGTTGCAAAGGGGAGATTTTTTTTTTGCTCTTTTACCTGGGGATCCATTCAGACAAATTTTCCTGGCCTTTGTTGTTTTCACACACACAAAAAAAGGGGAAATTTAAGCATCTCAGCTCCAGGAGGTGCCTGGCTTTTTATAAGAAAAACTAATTCAAACTCCTGGTGAAGGTGACAATTTTGCTAAAGCATTAACGCTCCCGTCGTCATCGGTGGAAGGAGGGTGGCTGGCCGCCCCCTTGTCCCACCAGGCCCGGGGAGACGTGGGTCCCTTTCAAGCTTAAAATTGGGACAATTAGGAACGTCCACGACATATTTTTTTTCCCCTCCTCGTTTATAGGCCTCGGCAACTTGCACAACAGAGCAAAGCATCCAGGAAGTCGAAAACAGTGCAGAAATGAAGGTTTACCTGCTTTATTCTGGGTACTCTGGCATACCACAGGTGGCAGCACCCAACCTGGTTGGTCTGCAGAAAGCAAGCCGGATCAGATGAAGACGGCACCAGGAAGGCTTCCGGAGGCAAGGTAGAGCTGGAAAAAACGTAAAAGGAGACCTAGTGTTCCCATTTGGGGTGAGTTTATTCACTGGGGCAGGAAGAAGTTGGGGTTTTAAGACCAGAGGCACGAGAAAACAAAGGTCAAAGGAATATCCTGCTCAAAGGCATTACTGGGGAATTTAATGCAACAACAGAAGAACTAAATTATTTTACAAGTCTGCACTGAATGGCCTTAGGAAGGCCAATGCTTTGCCCTGGAGGGAGGCTCTCTGTGTATTCTGTTGTCAGAGCAACTATAAAAGTCTTAGCCTTACTAATAGCCATAGTTTCTGCCTGGCTTTGCTCTCTCTTCATAGACCAAAATCAAGGCACAAGGTTGGCCCCTAATCTGCAAGGGGTCTTAGGATGACCCCTGACCCTTCACCCTGCAAGGCCTGAAATTAAAACTTTTTCTTCCCAAAAGCAGGCAAGCCCAAAGCTGAAAAACGGAATAGGAATAGGAACAAACAGTTAGGATAAGATAGGATAGAGAATACAGTGAATAGAATATAGAATAAAATAAGATGGACAGTACAAGACGGAATAGTATAAATACAGAATATAGTGAACAGAATGGAATGGAATAGAATGGAATGGATATTCAGAGTAAAATACAGAATAGAATTAGAATGCAGAATAAAATAAGATGGAATACAATAAAATACAGAATATAGTGAGTAGAATAGAATAGAATAGAATAGAATAGAATAAAGTAGAATAGAATAGAATAGAATAGAGTAGGATGGAATATAATATAATAGAATAGAATGCAGAATAGAATAGAATGCAGAATAGAATCGCATAGAATAGAGTAGAATAGAGTAAGATGGAATAGAATACAGAGTAAAATAAAGAATAGAATTAGAATGCAGAATAAAATAAGATGGAAAAGAATAAACTACAGAATATAGTGAATAGAATAGAATAGAATAGAAAATACAGAATAGAATTAGAACAGAACATAGAATAAAATATAGGATAGGATAGGACAGGACAGGACAGAAATATGCCCTAAAGTGGCAGAGATGCCCACCCTAACTCTTTCCTTCCTTTCGACCCTCAACTTGGTCCCCCAAAAGCCAAATGCCCCACAACGACAGGTCCTGGCCCACCCGATCAGTAACTCGATGGGGATCAAAGAAGAGGCTTCTAAGCCCCAGCCCACCTGCACTTCCGACGCTCTTTAAAGGGCGGTGTTGCTCTCAGAGTACAGAGGAGGAGGGGAGGGGAGACGGAGTAAGAGGAAAAATGTCTCTCTTGAACACTGAATCAAATGCGGTTGGCGGGTCCACGGAGGAGGCCAGCCAGATGCCTGCGCACGATCCTTACGAGGGAGAAAGGAGGTGTATTTCACCGCTGTGTTTATTCACTCTCCCGTCCCAGCCCTGGACAGATTTTAATTAAATAGTCATTGGCTGGGGCTGTTACTCTGCCTTGGACCTTTTCCAAGTGACAAGTGTTTGTTGGAAAAGCACCACAAGGGGGTCATTTCCTTCTCCCCCCTCCACCCCTCCTCGGCCCCCCACCCCACCCCAGCGCTTGTTAAGCTTCGCCTATTCTGCAAATACCGCTAATTACGTTTGCTTGGCAGGCGGCCAGCCTTCCCGATAACATCTTTTCATTAACACTGACCTCACCAGGCTCAAAAGGTGCCGGCTGCAATTTCCAAAGTCTTTGCCTTCATTCCGGAAGACTCTCCATTCTCCCGGATGACATTTATGCCACCGGCTGGGCCAGAAAGCTGGGGGGGGGGGCGCGCGGGGCTAAATCATCTGGTTGTCTGGAGAGGCCAGACTGAAAGCAAAGTGCACAATGGTACTCTGGACCTCAGTTGAGTGAGAAAAGGCTGGAAATCCTAAAATCCCCAGGCCTGGCTGGAAACCAGTTCTGGACTTTGTGCCCGAGGTGGGAAAAAAAACCACCGAAACTTTGATTTTGGGTTTTAGCGATGAATAGGTTTGTTGTTATAGAAATGGCTACGAGGGGGGACATGATAGCAGCGTTCCAGTATCTCAGGGGCTGCCCCAAAGAAGAGGGAGTCAAGCTATTCTCCAAAGCCCCTGAAGGCAGGACAAGACATCATCACCTTACAGTCTTCCTCCTCCTCCTCCCCCCACTCCTTAACTGATGATGTCCCCTAGTTGGGTAATGAAACGTCTGAAAGAAAACCACCAGGCTCAGAAAGCACCAAGGACTCCACCGACCTCCTCCCCCTCCTCCTCTCTGCAACCCCCCTCCTTTCTAGCACTGATGAGGTCACCTAGTTGGGTAATGAAATGTCTGAAAGAAAATAGCCAACCTCAGAGAGCATCACAGACCACCACCACCTCCTCCTCCATTCTTCTCCTCCTTCTCTCTCTCCCCCTCCCCTCCTCCTTCTTCTTCTCCTCCTCCTCTTCTTTTTCTCTCCCTCCCCCTCCCCTCCTTCTCCTCTTCTTTCCCTCCCCCTCCCCCTCCTTCATTCTTCTCCTCCCCCTCCCCTCCTCCTCCATTCTTCTCCTTCTCTTCTTCTCTCCCTCTCCCTCCCCTCCTCCTTCTTCTCCTCTCCCTCCCCCTCCCCTCCTCCTTCTTCTCCTCTTCTTTTTCTCTCCCTCCCCCTCCCCTCCTTCTCTTCTTCTCTCCCTCCCCCTCCCCCTCCTCCTTCATTCTTCTCCTCCTCCCCTTCTTCTCTCCCTCCCCTCCCCCTCCCCTCCTCCTCCTCCTCCGTCTTCTCCTCCTCCTTCTCCTCCTCCTCCATTCTTCTCTCCCTCTCCTCCCCTCCTCCTCCTTCATTCTTCTTCTCCTCCTTCTCCCTCCCCTCTGCCTCTTCTTTTTCTTCCCCTTCTCCTCTTCTTCTCCCCCTCCCCCTCCCCTCCTGCTCCTCCTTCTCCTCCTTCATTCTTTTTCTTCTTCTCTTCCTTCTCCTTATCTCCCTCCCCCTCTCCCTCCCCTTCTCCTCTCTGCAAGCCCCCTCCCTTCTAGCACTGATGATACGAAGTTTGCAAAATGTTTGCAAAAAAAAACAAAACAAAAAACCAAGCTCAGAGAGCACCCCCACAGTCCTCCTCCTCCTCCCCCTCCTCTCCACAAACCCTTCTCCCTCCTAGCATGGATGATGTTCCCTAGTTGGGTCATGAAATGTCTGCCAGAAAACCACCAAGCTCAGAGAGCACCTCATGTCAGCCCTGAGCTACACATATTCTCCTTTATTGATACGTATATTTCCACGCAGAGCTGTACATACACACACACACACACACACACACCCCTGCACAGAAACCAAAAGACATATGACGACTCTGTAAAACGCCCAGGAACCCCACCGCTGCTTATCTAAGGTTGAAGGAATTCAGCTCTCGCCAAATCACCAAGTTTGGCCTTGATGCCAACTCACCCCGTCCACCCAAGCTTCTAGTCCCAAAGGCCCAGAAAGTCTAAGGGCAGTCCTGAAATCGAATTAGATGGCTATAAGGAGGGGCCGTACTTGGGTGTGAACCCTAAAAAGACCCCACCCAACCACAGTGGTCATCTAGCTGTTCCCCGTCTCCCGCAGCGGCCCAGTGGGCGAAGGTGGGAACCGCTGCTTGAATCCTGGTTTAGCCAGCGTGGGCCGTTCGGCATCTGGGCTCGCTCGAAGTCTATCAACCTCTCTATCAACACCCAGATCCTGAAAGGAGAAAGGCGGAGGTTCCGGATGAGTAATTGTTGATACTCGGAGGCAAAATGCGCGCCGAAGACGGTGGGCGTACAGCGTATTAATGATGATGGCAGGTTATGTGTCTTAATTATCCAATTTCGCTGGCTTGACGGTAACGGAGGGAGGAAGGGCAGAGAAGGGCGCAGGAAAAATAAGAAGGGGGAAGGAAAAAAAAGCAGATTAACACAGAGGAGGCAGAGTTTTTAAGAGGTTTTTTGTTGGTTTGTTTGTTTTGTGGTGGTTTATTTGCAGAGTCCAGTAAATGAGAAATGACCCATACATTATTTAGTAGCATTAAGACCAAACAATTTGTCGTGCCTTGACACCGGAGCTGTTAGGCCTCCCCTGCTAGGACATCATGCAGTGTTCGTTTACAGCAGTGGTTCTCAACCTTTTTAATGCCGCGACCCCCAACCGGTCGTAAGTCAAGGACTACTCAACCGGTTGTAAGTCGAGGACTACTCAACGGGTGCAGCACCGTTTGCAGAATGGGACTTTTGGCGGGCTCAGCAGGGCAGAGACAGCCTGGACAATTCCTATGGGCTTTGGAAAGCCAATAGAATTAGACTCTATTCAAGAGAGTCTATTCGATTGGCTTGCAAAAGCCAATAGAATAAAAGGGAGTAGCACAGCTAAGGAAAAGGGGGGAAAAAATGGCGGACTGCATTGTTTGGCGACCCCCGTGAAATGGTCGTTTGACCCCAAATGGTTTACAGGCAGTCCTCGGCTTAGCGACCACCATTGGCAGGAAAACCTTCCACCATTAAGCAACACGGCCGTTTGAGTCGCGCCTGATTTTTGCCATGGTCGTTAAGCAAATCACACGGTCACTAAGCAAATCCATTGACTTTGCTTGCTGGAAGCTGTTCTGGGAAAGATGGCAAAATGGCGCGATCCTGCAACCGTCATAAGTTGAGCCCGGGTGGCACGGTGGGTAGAATGCAGCATCGCAAGCTGACTCTGCCCACAGCCAGCAGTTTGATTCTCACCGGCTCAAGGTCGACTCAGCCTTCCATCCTTCCGAGGTCGGTAAAATGAGGACCCCAAAACTGGTAAAATGGGGACCCAGATGGTTGGGGGCCAAATAGGCTGACTCTGTAAACCGCTTAGAGAGGGCTGTAAAGCACTGTGAAGTTATATATAAGTCTTATTGCTAAGGAAGGAAGGAAGGAAGGAAGGAAGGAAGGAAGGAAGGAAGGAAGGAAGGGAGGGAGGGAGGGAGGGAGGGAGGGAGGGAGGGAGGGAGGGAGAGAAAATGAGAAGGAATGAAAATAAGAAGAAAGCTGTAGTGGTGCAGTAGTTAGAATGCAGCATTGCAGACTGACTCTGCCCACAGCCAGCAGTTCGATCCTGACCGGCTCAAGGTCGACTCAGCCTTCCATCCTTCCGAGGTCGGTAAAATGAGGACCCAGATAGTTGGGGGCAGGTTGCTGACTCTGTAAGCCGCTTAGAGAGGGCTGTAAAGCTTTGTGAAGCGGCATATAAGTCTAAGGGCTGTTGCTATTCCTAAATAGAGGCCAAGTGCCCAAAATTTAATCATGGGATGCCCTGACCATCCTAATTGTGAGGACCAGCTACAAGTCTCAAGGAGAGAAGCAACCTAGAACTAAGGAGAAACTTCCTAACAGTGAGAACAATTAACCAGTGGAACAACCTGCCTCCAGAAGCGGTGAATGCTACAACACTGGAGGATTTTAAGAAGACACTGGACAGCCATTTGTCTGAAATGGTATAGGATTTCCTGCCTGAGCAGGGGGTTGGACTAGATGACCTCCAAGGTCCCTTCCCACTCTGTTATTCTATTCTATTCTATTCTATTCTATTCTATTCTATTCTATTCTATTCTATTCTATTCTATTCTGTTCCGTCCTATCTTATCCTACTCTATTCTACTCCATTCCATTCCTCTTCATTCTATTCTATTCTGTCCTATTGAGTCATTCTTTTCAGGGCCATTTCAACGGTCTTTAAACAGATGGCCGTAAGTGGAGGACTACCAGGACCATCATCCAACCTAAGAGAGAAACTACCAGCGACGGAAGGACGCCAAAGACTGAACATTTTTGTGAGGGCATGATCCAGGATGAGAGGAGAGGATTGACCAAGGGTAGGAAGAAGGGGGAAAAAAGGTCATCAGCGACGAATCATTAAGAGCTTGACCAGCCTAGAACACTATAAAAAAGGAGAGTAAACAAGTTTATGGAAGAAAAGAGGGTTGTGATTTGGGATGGAGCCTCCAAAACTAGTGGCACTCTACAGCCAATTAGCAGCTGCTGGAGATAGCAGATGGGGAAATATTATTGTGATTGTGCCTGGATGTTGGGCTTCCTAGAGACCCTTCATGGGTAGATCACGGGTAATCTGCTCTGATCTAGACTGATCCTTATTCCCCCTTCCCCTATCCCAAGGCAATGGGTCAGTCACTAAGATCTCAAGATGGATCCCAACGGGAGATCACGGAAGGACGTGATCTTAAATCCATAGACCGGCAGGAGATAAGGTGGTATGGAGGGCCATCATCCTGGTTTTATGGAATTGGCTTAAATCTGCCCTCGCCTCTGAATGCTGAGACCTCAAAGTCTATGGTTAATTTGTATGCAAGGATTAAGTCGGTCTAGAAGACCTGCAACCCAGTTATTCTGTTAGGTGTCTTGGTAGGAAGAGACAGACCTTTCCTGCCTACAATCCTACTTTCCTTGATGGGCAGGGAGGCAAACGAGGAGACCAACGTCCTCGGTGAAACTACAAGAAGTAAGTTTGCCTTGTTATTCCAATAAAGCAGCTTGTACCGGCCACTCAAACCCTTGTTTGAGATGCTTTGTAACCCTCGGGCAACATGAGAGTAACTGGGATAAGGGTCCCTCTTGGGGAAGGGAAATTTCTCAGCCCTTTGCTTCCAAACCGTGGAGACACCAAGTCCGCTAGGAAACGGAGGTTGAACTGCCGGTTCACGCAGTAGACAAGATTTCCGACGACGGCACACTGGAAGCAAGATGGGAAGGACATTGGGTGGGTGGCACACTCATACCACAGCTTGGCCTTGGCACTACAGCGATAGACACTGATGCCCATCCTCTGGTTGAGGTCAAAGCGGTAGATGAAGCCGTTGACGGTCACCATCTCGGTTGTCCTGTCCTGACTTCCTCCAGTGAGGTTGACTTTCCAGGTGTCCGTCTGTTTGACGTACCTCAGCAGCATGTATCTCAAGGTGCCTCCCGTGACACAGATCTCCCCGTCGCAGACGGTGGCAGTGTGGGCCACAGCAAAGGTGTCATTGGGCAGAGGGGCCGCAAACGTCCAACGATCCAGGCGTGGGTCGTACTGTTCCACTGTATAGAGACATTCTCCGCCAATGGCGTAGAGGCAACCATCCAGGGCCACCAGCTTACAGTGGGGTCTGGCTTGGTTGAGGGGACAGATCTCCTGCCAGATGTCAGTCAAGGGGTTGTAGCAGAAGACACGGTTGGATGGTTTCTGATACCTTCCAAACCCTTCACAGCCAGCCACGACGAAGAGGTAATTGAACATGCTGCAGATGGCACAACCCTTGGAGATGGCTTCAACAGGGATGTGGGTTAATGGATGCCAAGCATCTTTCTGGTCATCGTAGTAAGAAAGTCTACTTGTGTGGCATCCAACATCTGCCACCGTCATGTATTTCTTGCCTCGCATCCTCTTCTCCAGGATCAAGTCCCTCTCTGCAGCGTTGAGCTGGCGGTAGATGGCCTGGGTCTTCAGCACTTGGAGATAGTTGTCACTCATGACCTTGTAGACCGCCTCTTGCAGATCCTTAAGTTTCTGCTTCTTGGCCATGCACAAAACCTGGTAGCAGTTCCCCAGATCTAAGTGTATATCCAGAGAGGAGTCTGAACTTAGTGGGACATGGAAAAATTTAGCGCCAGCCACAAGCTTCACCGATGGCTCTTCTCTTCCACTGCTCAGGAAATTTTGCATGGATTTCACCAGAGATGAAGTAGAGTCCAAGTGAAGAAGAGCTGGAGGTGAGGTGTGGCCACTTGAGGGCCCAATTCCTGGAGAACCAAAACCTTCCATCGACACCTGTAACTCTGGATTATTTACAATTTTTTTGAAGCTTTCTTTCCGGCTGATGCTACGTCTGCCCAAGAGAGGTTTCGAGGAGATGGCTTCTTTAACAGCAACTGTCTCTGTTTGATCCTTAGGTTGGGTGTCCTTTGCAGGACTAAGGAGAACATTAGAAGATATGTCTGGAACCTTCTCCAAAACAAGCTTGTTGGCTTCATCTTTGGTCACCGATGAGCAGACAGGTTCCTCAGCCCAACATTTCTTGGATACATTAAGTATGTCGATAGTAGAGAGGTTGCAGGATCGTTGGAAATCCAGGTTGGTACCAAAAGTGGTTCTATTCATAATGGATTGAGAAGTAGACTCAACATAGTAGTTGTAGACTTTGCCTCTCAGTTGAGTGTCTTCAGCTTTCCCAGAACTTTGCTTCTCTTTGATGAAGTTCTCCTCCACCTCAACTTTGGCCACAGAGGAGAACGCATAGGCCACATGAGATTGCACATGGCTGTGGTTGATGGCCAAGTCCATATCACTAGTGGCATAGAAAGACTGGATCTTCTCTGGGCCAAACCGCCTCTCCACAATTTGTTTCTTAGTCTCTTTTCCCAGTGGTTGACCTTCTCCTCTTTTCAAACTGATGCCACTCCCACCTGTGGGATGGACATCCTTCTCCACCGGCTTGGCACAGCTAGATTCAGCTTCAACAAGATCAACATCCCAGCCAGACCCCATCGAATTGTAGAGTTCCCTCTCTCGGCTGAGTAGGCCTACAGCTCCAGAATGATCTCCTAAATTGTCCAAATCAGCCCCAGCTTTGCTAGTGCAGTTCTGGATGGTGCAACAGGGGTCCCCAGCCTTGTCTTCGGATCTCCACCCTTGTTCCACCCCCGGTTCCATACAGCTCACTTCCCACGCCTCTTGTTTAGTTTCTGCCTCAGTTTCTCTTGTGCCAGGCAGCTCCCTGCCAGCAGGGATCGGGGCCTGCCCACACGCTTCCGTTACTCCACATCTACCCACCTGCACCAGCTGATTGGTCCCTGGGTGGCATGGCTCTGTCTCCTTCCTCCGCTCTCCTCTGTGCCTCAGTGCCACCTGTTTGTTTTCCTTCTGGTTGCCAACCTGCCATTCTCTTCGCTCTGCCCTGACGACATTGGCATCCGTGGCCCCGGCTGGGGTGCTGCTAGGGGGCACTCGAGACTTGAAATACCGGTAGGCCAACATCAGCAAGAGCAAGGCCGCGGCGGAGAGGGCCAGCCGGCCAGCCAGAGGCATATCCGACGGCTGAACCCCGCTTCCTTCGGCACGGTGGGGCATTTTTCCATATCACGCTGGCGCTCAGGAATGCGATGAATAATTGCCAAGGAACAACTCCGAGTGGATCAGGGCTGGCTCCCTCCCTTCTCTGCAAGGTGACTTTAACCTGCCGATTGACTGGTAAAAAGAGATTATTGTCCACCTGCTCGCTCAGTGTGCCAGGTGTCTGTTTACTATAGGTTTGCATATTTCAGGAAGGTGGGCCGGGCTGGAGGCAGGTAAGACAAACCGGAAGACGAGAGAGAGAAAGAGAAGCGGAAAGCTTTGCGACGGAGTAAAAGCGATCTTAAGCTTTCATAAACGAGAGAGGTTTTTTTTTTGAACTTAGCCTATATTTATAAAGCTTCTTAATCAATTTTTCATCTGATGTCAGTAATATCTTATCCAATTCTGTCCGTTCTTTGTAAAATCCAGGTGTTTTTAATGTCTTTTTCATATCTCATTTGAATTTGCAGGTATGGCCACCGTGATAGATCCATACCCTGTCCTTCTCGTTCTTGTCTATGTTTTAATTTTCCTTCATTGTTCAAAACGTCTTTGTAAGTCACAATTTCCTCGTCGTTTATTAACTTGGGTGAACAAACCTTCCATTGTTGAGAGCCATCCAGCTATTTTCATATAGATTTTCACTTTTATTTCACCGGAAGGTGAAAGAGAGAAAGAGAAGTGGATACAGTAAAAAATGATCTGAAAGCTATTAATTCCCATGATGGATTTCTGTTACATCTTGCTGTAAACAACAGACTCCTATCCATACAGGTAGTCCTCAACGTATGACCCCAGTGGAACCCGAAATTTCTGTTGCTAAGTGAGACCATTGTTAAATGAATTTTGCCCCATTTTGCAATGTTTCTTGCCCCAGTTGTTAAGTTAGTAACACGGTTGTAAAGTGAATCTGTCTTCCTCATTGACTTTGCTGGTGGGAAGATTTGCAAAAGCAGACCACATGCAACCGTCGTAAATATGAATCAGTTGCTGGGCGTCTGAATTTTCTTTACTTAACTAAGGGGAATGCTGCAATGACCTTAAGTGTGAAAAACACCCTGTCACTTTTTTCAGTGCCGTTATAACTTCAAACGGTCACTAAATGAACTTTTGTTAAGCCGAGGACTATTACCTGTATTTTCTCAGATTTAAGAGACCCCACACTTAGCCGGACTCCCTGTATGGAGGACATTTGTTGAGTTGTGAAAGAAGAATTTAAAGACGGTATCCAAAACGTTCTCCATAAACGATTCCCTATTTTAACATGTGTGTGGAATTCAGCCTGGCTTGTGTGTTTTGAGCGCAGCTCTACCGCCCTTATCCCGACAATGAGACAACGAAAAGGCAGCTAGAAATATACAAACAGGCCCCCAATTTGGGGGGGTTTCTTCTGCCTCGTGGCCAGAATGTAAAAGACAACAGAAAATGCAGTATGGTGCCGGTTCCAGGTTTTTATAAGGCACCTTTAAACTTCCTCTTCTGTTTCTTTCTCCAGCCAATTCGTTCTTTTTTAGCAATGTCCAAAACCGTGGAAAAACACAAGACCCATGACACATTTCTGCCTGGGGCTGTGTTTGCACAACCAGACTGAGTTAGCAGATGGATTTACATAGCACACAAGCTTTGGTTAGTTTTCATCTTGGCTAAGTTGTGATTCAGGGTGGGTGGATAAACACCCCCCCCCCCAGTTTGTGGTTCCATGCCCTTTGCAAAATCAGGTTAAAATCAGGCTAAGCTTGTGTCGATCCTAATCTGTGTCTGCCTGTCGCTGTGGTTTAATGCTCTTTTGAAAACGATCGTGGTTTGTTACATATTTGTCTTCAGTTTACGCTTCCGAGTATGAATTCCATCTTAGAAGCTTGGAAAGTTTAAACTTTCTGGGCTTCTGGGTGTGAGGTGCCCTGGCAAACATTATGAAGTGGTCTAAAAAGGAAAAAAAAATTTTTTTTCGTGTAAATACTGCTCAGTCTGTAATGCCAGAGCGGTTTCAAACATGTTGTTTCCCTTCAAGCGTGAAATAATTACGGATGTAGACGGTGCAATTAACTTTTGTACATGAGTCCGAAGCAGGCCTTAACAGATGCCTCCCGTGGCTGAGAAAAATGGGCTACAGCCGTGTTTTTGGTTTCTTTTTTTTTTAAATGTAAAAAGAGAAAAGGTTCCAGAAGGGGGGGGGGGGAAGAAGCTGTCAAGACAAGCATTGAACAAAAGCATTTTGAGGCTGTCTGTCTGAATTTTCATCCTGAGGTTTCTGTGTCTTTTTCTCTCTCTTGGAAGCCTAAACAAGGAACTCAAAATGAAGAGTGGTATAAAACCCAGTTTTAATTTTGTAGGTTGCACTGTAGACGAGGGGGACGAATACGACGTATTCTGATAAAAAGAATTCTACTAATATTGCTCCAGGAGGTAGCTGCCAAAATGCCCTATTTTTAGGAATTAATTTGAGGAAAGAGGTGCACGATAGTTTTTTTTAGAACTCTTGAGTTTCAGTCCTACACCTCTTTAAAAAAAACTTTGGAGTTCTTTTTTTCTTCTTTCTAACAGCCAAGAAGACACTGATACATGCAGGTAATCCTTGACTTACAACAATTTATTCAGTGACCATTATAACGGCGCTGAAAAAAGTGAGTTACGACTGTTTTTCACACTTAACGCCCGCTGTCACATCTCCCACGGTCCAAATTTGGGCCCTTGAGCAGCTGAACTCACATTTACGACGGTCGCAGTGCTCCGAGGTCACGCAATTCCCCTTTCGCAACCTTCGGACCAGCAAAGCCAGATTTGGTTAACGACTGTGTTACTAGCTTAACAAGTGTGGCGATTCACTTTGCGACGGTGGCGAGAAACTTAACAACTTAGTCGGTTAGCAAAAGACATTTTGGGCTCCATTGCAGCCGTAAGTGAAGAACTATCTGTTTTTCCTTGCCAGGACCAAAGAGGAACTAGGATGATTGGATGCAAGGCTTGGGAATGGCCGCCACCATCCCGTGGATGCCAGGGGGAAAGGGGTGCTCAGCAGACCTCTTGATGGGATCCGTGAGTGCAGTTAAGAGGTGAGCCAGGTGGTGCAAAGCGTCTAGTATAATTTTACCCCTGGTGTAGCAAGTAGAAAAACAGGTTATAATAAACCTCAAGTCAACATATACCTCCGGTCTCCAATTTCCTTCTAGGATCCTGGTGACTCAGGGCTGGAGACAGGTGTACCTATTCTAATTTTGCCCAGGTGAGAGGCATGGGGTGCTGCCAAGGTGTTTCTTCTCTGCTGTGAAGGGCGAATTTATCAGCACAGCCACCTCTTTGCCAAGCTCAGTTGGGGGGGGCAGCATTCAGAGAATGGCAGCATTCAGAGAATGGCAGCTCCTTGGCACTCTCCCGGCCTAAGCCCATTCGGCTGATTTGCCCGGAGAGTTAAGATTTGTAGCAGGAAAAAGAAGGTAACAACAGCAAAAAGCTTCATTTGGTCCAAGCAGACAATGTAGAAACTAAATTTGAGCCAAGCCTAAATTGGATTGCCTTCTCTGGATGTGTGGGTGCTTGGTTTTGGAGTGAGACAAGGGTGCAGGCAAAATGAAAGTAGTTTTTCCTTCTCCGGAGGCAAGTTTGGTTAGCCTCGGAGGGGGGGAAGGGAAAAAAAATAATGTAAATTCTTAGACCCATTTTACAGACAGGAAAACTGAGGACGCAGGTTGCACCAAAGTCGCTTGCACGACTTTAAGGCAAGGAAAAACTCAGAAATTCTGCTGTTTTTTTTTTTTCTTCCAAGAGGAGAAAGCTTTGCAAGCCGCTAGTATCAACTAGATGGCTCGTTAAAAAAAAAAATATTGTAATGCAGAACGACAAAAAGACAAGTTTAACATTTTCATTATATTTCATTATTTTAGCTGGAGATGTTGGCCCCCAACAGACCCCCACAGTAGGTCACAGATCTAATAATATAATAAAATGCTGTAGCTTGTCCTCTTTCAAGAACAACGATCCTCTCCAACTGTAGAACAACGCAGTGGTGGGATTCAGCCGGTTCACACCGGTTCGGTAGAACCGGAAGCTAAATTTTGCTGAGTTCGGAGAACGGCTGAATGCACACTGCTTCAGGAAGTCCATTCTAGGCCTCAGAGGCCTGCCCAGCCTAGAACGACCCACCGGAAGTGTGTGGATGCCACTTCCGGAAGTCTGTTCTAGGCTTCGAAAGCCTGGAGGAGGCCTAGAACAGCCCACCGGAAGTACATGGATGCCACTTCCGGAAGTCTGTTCTAGGCCTCGGAAGCCTGGAGGAGGCCTGGAACAGCCCACCGGAAGTGCATGGATGCCACTTCCGGAAGTCTGTTCTAGGCCTGGGAGGCCTGGAGGAGGCCTCCCCAGCCTCGAACGGCCCGCCGGAAGTGCGTGGATGCCACTTCCGGAAGTCCAATCTAGGCCTCGGAGGCCCAGGCATTCAATAAGAGAACCGGTTGTTCAGGTATTTGAATCCCACCACTGGAACAATGTCTGTTCTTTGTTTTTTTTTTCCTGGAGACTACTCCTGCAAATGGAAGCTCGCTTTCCCTGGCATTGCTCCAACAGGTGGGATTCAAATACCTGAACAACCGGTATGGAAAATCCCGCCCGATGCCATCCTCAAGACCTTGCCAACCTTGGACCCGTCTGCTGTCAATGTGCAACTGAACCAGATGCCTCCGTCAGAAATTTTTCAGCATATTTTTTTTCATTTTGTAGTTTAAATCCTCAGGGGTGATTTTTTCCTCTCCTCCATTGCTGGATGGAAGCCCCTGGGCGCCCCTTGGCTTCCTCCTCCAGCATGTCAGTCTCTGGGCATTAAAACTGGAAAAAGCCAAAGGCAAAACCCAGCCGAGAGGAGGTCCACGGAGAGGGAAGGGAAAAAGGGACGAAAAGCTTGAAAAAAAGGGAACCGTCTCGGCTTTGAGATTTGGAGAGAATCAGTATCAAAGGACGAGCAACGGGCCTGTCTGGCAGGAGGGCGGAGAACATGTTTGCCTTTGAAGAGGGCGGAAAAAAATCAAGGAGAAATGGGGCAGACCTGGCGGTTTTTAAGAAGCTGGTTGGCACGAATAAAAGAGCAAAGCTTGGAAAGATGGGAGAGAGGGAGGCCTTAATTAGCAATTAATTTACACCATCCCCCTCCAAAAAAGACATTCAGGATTTTGGTTTCCAGCTCCTCTTCCAGTAGTATTAAGTAGGCACTCTGCACACGCCCAGAAGCACAACTTCAAATTGGGGGGACCAATCGCGCAAAGGAGTCACCTATCAAGGAGTATGATGTTAACATTAATTTGCCGGGCAAAACCCAGAAAGAGTTCTTAAAGGAGAAAAACATCCCTATCCGAATTAGAAATATTAGATTATTTACCAGCCATTCATGGGGAATTTGAATATTCTGAAGGGGTATTAGACAGGCAGAAATTCGACAGGCAAGGGGTTTCTGATGGTATTTGCAGCAAAATGTTGTGCCTGCCCATAGAGATGTTGCCCCACTGAATTCCTCGGGGCTTCCCATTCACCCAACCTGCAATGATAATTACCATTTCATTTATGACTCACTTAATGACAGAGGTTGCGGTCCAAATTTTGGTCATTAAGTCGAGGACTTGCAGGTAGTCCTCAACTTACGACCACAATTGAACCCAACATGTATGCTGTCAAGTGATAAATTCGTTAACTGAGTTTTGCCCTGTTTTACGACTTTCCTTGCCATCGTTGTTAAAGTGAATTGCTGCAGTTGTTAAATGGGTAACACAGTTGTTAAGTGAATCTGGTTCCCCCACCCTTGACTTTGCTCGTCAGAAGGTCGCAAAAAGGGATCCCGGGACACTGTGACCGTCATAAATGTGAGTCCGTTGTCAAGCATCCGGATGTAAGTCACTGTTGTGATTCCTCGCCAGCTGAGTCTGAGGAATCAGGGGAGGAGGAAGAGGAGGGGCCTGGAGTGACATCAGAGTCAGAGGAAGGCTCTGAGGAGCTCCAAGATTTACAGTCGGACGAGGAGCCCGGCCCCTTTACTCGCACTCAGGCTGAGACACAGCTGTGCTGGGAGCCTGAGTTGGACAGTGATGAAGAACAGCTGGGACAAATCCCGGATGCACCAAAGCGCAGGCAAGAGAAGCAAGTAGGACAGAGGAATGAAATGGGGCGGCTCCAAAGGCAAGGGAGAAGGCATTAGGAAACCACGTCTTGGCTGAATAATAAAAGGAAAGGTGTGAGAGGTGCTGGTTGCCAAGGCAACTGTTTGTGTTGAGGATCAAGTTTCTGTGGACTGTGTTTGTTTGTCTTGGACACTGACTCAGGCCTGTGAGAATAAAAGGGGTTGGTTTTTTTCTTGCGGTTCCTGCCTGCTTCTTGGAAAAGGGGTTTCTCCTTGTGAGCATAAAAGGACTCACATAGGCTGGGACAGAACAGTCGCATGACCACAGGGATCCTGCAACGGTCATAAGTGTGAGAAATGCTCATAAGCAGGGTTCTTCAAACTTGGCCCTTTTATGACTTGTGGACTTCAACTCGCAGAACTCCTCGGCCAGCGTGGCACGCTGGCTGAGGAATTCTGCGAGTTCAAGTCCACAAGTCATAAAAGGGCCAAGTTTGAAGAACCCTGCTCATAAATCACTTTTTTCCGGTGTTGTTAACTTTAAATGGGTCATTAAAAGAACTGTTGTAAGTGGAGGACTTATCTGTAGTCGCAATTAAAATACTTAAACCTGGTTTGTCCCTGGAATTCATCCTATTGTGAACACTAAATGTATTTATGTTTTACCGTGTCCCAACACTTTTTAAGGCGGATCAACTGTCCTTCCAAACCTTCTTTGACATGCAATGGCATTGAGTTTGGCTGCTGTGAGAGGGTTGCCGATGCTAATGGCTGGATTTGAAAGTTAAAAGAACAGACCTGGTTTTTTTTTTCTGAAAAAGAGCCTGATTTGTTTGTTGTCCTGGAAAAGGTGGTATTGAAGGTCCAAGTGTCACGTTCGGATGAGCTCTGGGATCTTGCTAACTGCCTAGATTTTGTAGGCGAAGTTCTGGGCCTTTTTGTTTTTGGAGAACATCTCTGGAGCATCTTCCTGCAGGCTTTATTATTTTTGCAAGAACAATCCATGGATTTGGGGAAAGCAATGAATTATGCATGGAATCGTGAGTGACCCCGTGAAGCTTGGCTGGTTGTTCCTCACTGTAATTGTGTGTAAGAGACAGGAGGGGAGGACCTTGCCAATAAAAGTGTTCCTTGAAATCTCCACCAAGTTTGGCCTCTTTGCACTGGGCAGAGCTAAATGACAATGCGTGTGGACAGAGGGCATCACCGGTGCCGTAAGTAAGTAGGTGGACACCACCAAGATCATGTCTCAAAATATCTAAGTGGTTACTGTGGGGCCTAGGAAGATCAGTGATGGAATCTCTGTTGGTTGTGTCCCCATGGACCCAAGACCTGAGGGAAAACAACAGGAGAGATGATGGTCTTAAGAACTTCTCTGCCTCTCCAAAGGAAGGACTTTAGCTCACTTTAGAGCAATGGTTCTCAACCTTTTTAATGCCGTGACCCCAACCGGTCATAAGTCGAGGACTACCCAACCGGTCGTAAGTTGAGGACTTTCCCTGCCCGGGTGCACTGCACATGCGTGGTGCTGCCCCTTCCCCCGGACGAGGCGTAGCTGGCAAGCGTCAGCGGTGGCGCAGGGCGACCACCGGCTGGGCCACCAGCTGGCCCAGCCCAAGGGAGGTAAGGCACCCGCTGGGCCCCACACATGCCAGCAACCCTCCCTGCGCCCGCCGGCCTCCCACCTCCCACCCCTGGCCCTCTTTTACTTACATTTTTAGTAGTTGCTCAGCAGGGAGGGGTGGAAACTTCCAGACAGCTCGCCTTCGCTGCAGACAACTTGCAGCACCGTTTGCAGAATGGGACTTTTGGCGGGCTCAGCAGGGCAGAGGCAGCCTGGACAATTCCTATTGGCTTTTGAAAGCCAATAGAATTAGACTCTATTCAAGAGCGTCTATTCTATTGGCTTTCCAAAGCCAATAGAATAAAAGGGAGTAGCACAGCTAAGGAAAAGGGGGGAAAAATGGCAGACTGCGTTGTTTGGCAACCCCCGTGAAATGGTCGTTCGACCCCAAATGGGGTCCCGACCCACAGGTGGAGAACCACTGATGTAGAGGCATCAGGCTGGACTACAGAAGTCATTAAACTGGTTGCAATGATGAATTTGCGTTTTTTACAGCTTTCCACGGAGACAGTTGTCGGCAAACAGATGGTTCAAGGGCAGAACATCCTTCGCTTGAGGTCCCCTGTGGTGTGTTTCCTCCAGGGCTTCAAGTTTACGTCAACTTGGACAAACACCAAGGAAAGGGGCAGCGTTCCCCCCCCCAAAAAAAGATTTAGCAGATCGCTTTTTCAGAATTACGACAAGTCACATCTTTCTTGTCCTTGCACCCATCTATGGGAAAAGAGAAGGAGCGCCTACAGTGCCAACATGATTGGAGCAGAGCCTAAGGAGAGACTTCACCCAACCTCAAGCACCTCAAAGTCTCAAATCAACTCCCCATGGAAATGCAATAACAGGAAGGAAAAAACAGGTCCATTCTGAAGGATGCTGAGTGGGGAAGACAGGAAGTATGGTGAACAGAACATAGTATGATCTGGGCCAAGTAGATTTACAGTTTCCAGGCCATCAAATTTGGCTTGAACCTATGGAAACATATCCTAAAGGTAGGATCTAAACTAGTGTTTCTCAACCTTGGCTACTTGAAGACGGGTGGGTTTCAACTGCCAGAATTCCCCAGCCAGCCTAAACAATAGAATAGAATAGAATAGAATAGAATAGAATAGAATAGAATAGAATAGAATAGAACAGAACAGAGTAGAGTAGAGTAGAGTAGAGTAGAATAATAGAAGGAATGAAGAATAGAATAGAATAGAATAGAATAGAATAGAATAGAATAGAATAGAATAGAATAGAATAGAATAGAATAGAATAGAATAGAGAGAGTAGAGTAGAATAGAATAATAGGAACAATGAAGAGTAGAACAGAATAGAGTAGAGTAGAGTAGAGTAGAATAGAAAGAATGAAGAATAGAGTAGAGTAGAGTAGAATAGAATAGAAGCTGGAAGGGACCTTTGAGGTCTTCTAGTCCAGCCCCCCTGCTCGAGCAGGAGAACCTACACCATTTCAGACAATACTGCGTCTATTGTTCTAAACAATAGTGTTACAGAGATGGTGGCTTCTTATCTCTTTGCTTATCCTGCATATTGCTCCCTTCCAACTCTACCATTTTACGTTTCTATAGGAAGATCATTCTGAAGAGGAGTAATTCTAATAAAGGCTTGACAGGGAAACAATTCAGAGCCACCTGACTTTTCCATCCGGTGAGAGGCCAAGCAAGAGTACAAGGAGACCCTCCCAACGTTCCTCTTTTGCAAAACCTCCAGTCAGCTTCTTCCCGAGATCTCCGTGTGCTTTTTTTCCAAACATCTGCTTAAGAAACCATAAGCTTTTCCCTAACCCTCTGAAATACCATTCAGAAAGCAATTTGAGACAATTGCCTCCACGCTCTTGGAGTCGGGCAGAAGGTTTAAAAAAAGCGTTTCTCCCTCCGTGCATTGAAAATGTTGTGCTTTTTTTTGGGGGGGGGGATATTTTGCTGAAACAGGGAGGAGAAAAGCTCTCCAATGCAAAACCTGCTCAGGACGCCAAAACTGAACTCAGAAATGGAGACGAGGATGTGTGTGTGTGTATATTTCAGGAGCCCCCTTGTCTACAAACATCTATGTGAGCTTTTCCGGGTTCTCTACTCTTTTGCCTTCTTCCCACCGTCTTGGCGACACTGGGAGATGTGTGATCCTAATTGTACTTAATTGTCTCCTCCTCCACCAGACTTTCCCACCATCCCTGCAAAAAAGGTAACACGGAGCGCGCGAATCCTGGCTGGCTCTCGCGCAAGACACAGACCCGTCTTCCCCGTTTCATCCACCTCTATCGAAAAGAGCAGCAATTAATTTTTTACCAGCTAATCATTCCCTTCAGACAGATCCGTCAGCGGAGGACCTGTCACAGCCCATCAATAATGAAACAAACGCAGCCCTCCCTCAAGTGCCCCCCCCCACCCGCCTGCCCGTTTCCTGCATTATTCAATCCCGGAGCATCAAAACCAGGAGTAGCAATCCTGTAACTCATGTCCTTTGAAATTACCTGGCAAAGGAGGGGGCAATTGCAGAGGGGAGGGCGTAGGGGAGCGTAGCGATGCAATGCGCTCCTTGATGTATAAGCTGTGGCTTGGGGGGGGGGGTTCTGTCTGTCTTCAGATCTTTTCGTGGAACGAATCAGCCTGTGCAACTTAACAGAATAACAGAGTTGGAAGGGACCTTGAAGGTCTTCTAGTCCACCCCCCTGCTCCAGCAGGAAGCCCTATAGTACCATTTCAGGCAAATGGCTGTCTGGTTTTTCCTTGAAGATCTCCAGGGATGGAAGCACCCACAACTTCGCGAGGCAGGTCGTTCCGCTCATTAATTTGGGAAAATGGATCTTCCCAATCACGCTCAGAATTCTACTCTCTTTCAAGGGGACATAAATAACTTTTCTCTTCTTGAATTCCCACCAGCTCATCCCGTTTTACTCTGGGCGCCTACAATAACCCAGGACACAACAGGGTGCTTTGAAAATGAATACTGAGTCAATTGTAAATAGGCTGGAATTGCATAGGAGAGAGTTGCAGAGGGGGAGGGATCAGGAGAGAGAAATTTCAGCTAGTCCTTGGCTTATGACCGATTGCTTAACAACTGTTGGAAGTTGCAACGGACTTCAAAAAAGATACCTCAAAGTTGTGATTGCTGGCTGCCCGCGATTGCATTTCAGGGGCTCGGCAGCCAACTTGTATGGATGACCACGATCATCTAACCAGGATTTATGACTTTTTTTGGCTGTTTTCCAGCAGAAAACACCCATTGGTTAGGCTGGATTCGCTTAACGACCACGTGGTTTGCTTAAAGTTTGCAGTGACTCGCTTAAACCCAATTAGCAACCATGCCTTACGAGTGAAATTCCAGACTCAGCTGAGGTCCTAAACTGATAATTACCTGCAGTCTAGGGGAGGGAAGTTACAGTAATTGACACACGTCAGTGGGAAACTGACAGCCTCAGGACAAGCATGCTGGGACTTGTAGTTCAGCCACTGGCGGCGGAGGAGAGAAATAAACCTTGCAGTCAAAGGGTCCGTGCTGCACGAGAGGGATGGGATGTCTGAACAGGAAAATAGGGACATTTATCAGGTTTCCTGTTTCTTAACCAGTGTTTCCCCTCCAGGGCAGAGACAGGGAGCCTCAGAGCCCCCCAGGGACACAGTCATCGATCGGACCTCTCTGTCGGGAGAGCGGCATAACTTGGTTTGGCAATGATGGAGCCCACCTCGCTCACCGAAGCAGCTCAGGTGCCTGGGGAGACAGTTCACAAATGCCACCTCAGCCTTAATGTCCTCATTTCCATGGTTCCGGGCTAAAATGGCCACATTTGCATTTAAATCGAGCAGAGGGAGTCTGTAAATCTCCATTTTCTTAGCGAGTGGGAATAATGGGGGCTTAATCTCCTTCGGAAGGGGGCTTCTCCAAGCGGCATCAATCCTGAAGAAGACGGAGAGGACGGGGGCATATCAAGTTCCTGGCGCAAAATCGGAAGCCAGCAAATATGTATTCCTTGAAAAGCTTTCGCCCCAGGCCTGACACAGGTCGGCCGTGGAGAACTGGAGAGAATCACCTCGACTTACAACAGTTCATTTAGTGACCATTATGACAGTACAAAAAAGGTGATTCTTGGCTGCTTTTCACACGAATGACCCATGCAGCGTCCCCGTGGGTCATGTGATCAACATTCAGAGGCTTGGCAACTGACTTGTACTTATGACAGTTTGCAGTGTCCTGGGGTCATGCGACCCCCTTTTGCGGCTTTCTGTTGTGATTCCATGCCAGCCTGTGCTCCCAACAGCTGAATCTGAGGAATCTGAGGAGGAGGTGGAGGAGGCATTTGAAGGGCCATCAGGGGCAGAGGGATGCTCTGATGAATTACAGGACTCACGGTTTGATGCAGAGCCTGGGCCCTCCAGTCGTGTTCCTGATGAAGCTCAGCTGTGTGTGGAGACTGAGTCAGACTCGGAAGACTCACACCTGATGGACTTCCTAACTGACACAGGCACACGTTGTCAATTAGCGAATAAATCAGCAGCAGTCAATACGGCAACTCCAGGGTAAAAGGAGAAGGCACTGAGAGGCAACACCTTGGGACCGCTGTATAAAAAGAGGAGGTGTGGGCGGTGCTGGTTGCTGAAGGCAACCGTTTGCAAAATACTTCTTGGAATCCTGGTCTGTTCGTCTTGCTTGTGACTTCTCTTCTGTTTACATCATGTTTCCTGTGGACTATTTCCTTCATTTGGACTTGAGTTTTGCTGTTTGTGTTTTGGACTATTTGGCAGGTTTGTCACCCATATTAAAAGGGGTTTGTTTTGTTTTAAAGTCTCCAGCCTATTTTATCAGCAGGGGTTTGATCCTTGTGCCTTTAACAAGGACAGCTATAGGCTGGGATAGAACACTTTCTGATAAGCAAAGTCAACAGGGGAAGCCCAGATTCACTTAACAAAACTTGCTTAACGACGACCGTCTCATTTAGCAACGGAAATTTTGGGCTCGAGGACGGACGGAAAGTCTTGAGGATGGGGTTGGTGTCAGCTCTGAATGGTGCCAAGGACCGACTTTTCATTCTCTGTTAAAAGCGCAATTGGCAGAAGCAGGACAGAGCAAGCGTCATTTCTGCAAATATCTGGAAAGCCGCCCCCATATTTTAACAGCAGCAGAAAGGAATGGAGTTTTATCTCGTTAACGGTCATGAACTTTAACTAGGTTTAATTCCAATTTTGTGCTGGCTGCGTTCTCTCTAAAGAGGCCGCTCTGCATTTATGATTTGGGGAATCCATTAAGAGGAAGGCAAGGCAGAATAACTGGTGGAATACTTAATGGAGGGGGAAAAATGGGAGGAAAAATCAACTTTCTTTCCTCTCGGTTTCTCAAAACTAGAACGGACACTCATTTTGAAAGGGGAAGAGACTTGGGAGAGAGGGTGGGAGAAAAAAATGGGAGATTTTGACATAAACGTCTCGGATAGTGGCAAGATTGTGTACGACGTGCAAGATTGTGTGAGCCGTGGTGGCACAGTGGTTAGAGTGCAGCACTACAAGCTGATTCTGCTGACTGCTGGCTGTCAGCAGTTTGGCAGTTCGATCCTGACCGGTTCAAGATTGACTCAGCCTTCCATCCTTCCAAGGTCGGTGAAATGAGGACCCCAAAATTGGTAAAATGGGGACCCAGATTGTTGGGGGCAAATATACTGACTCTGTAAACGGCTGTAAAGCACTGTGAAATGGCATATAAGTCTGTGCTATTGCTACATTGCTATTGCTACAGCTTTAAACCTAGCAAAGAAGAGGCAGTACTAATAGAACTTCCATATTCAGGGGTAGTATACTGTATGCATTCAAAGCATGAAAAATGAACTTATCAGGGAAAGTAATCCATAATATAGTTTGCAAGTTATTCTGCACACTGCCTTAAAAAGTGGTTTTACTATTTGGCCAGAAAATAAGAGATTTCGGGTCTTTGAACCTGTGACAGGGTGAAAGCTCTGTTTGGCTAAAGCCAGACTGATGGTCAAATGCTGGCCAGAGGCTTTGCAAACGTTGGTCACAGGCCAAAGCTGGACCATCCTGTCTTTCCTACACAAGGAACATACATGTAACTCCAAATGATTCTGCGACTGACACAACTGCTTAAGTCAGGGGTCTTCAAACATGGCCTTTTTATGACTTGAGGACTTCACTTCCCAGAATTCCTCAGCCAGGCACGTGCCATAAAAGGGCCAAGTTTGAAGACTTAAGCTATGTATATAAAACAAGGCAGTATAAAAAAATGGAATAACACCAGTACGTCTTGAACACCGTAGGCATTGACCAATTCACCATCAGTCAATTGCAGAAGGCAGTTTTGTTTGGAACAGCTTACATCTTGCAAAGAGATCTTGGATAAAATCCAAGCAACCACGTCTGCCTCTCCCAGGCGCTCGGGAAGGACTTGATAGGTGGATAAAAAGGCCAAACCCAGCCTCAAACATCCGGCTGACTGTGCCACCAACCATAAATAACAACACTAATAAACTGCAAGCAGTCAAGAGGCCCGTTTGGGTCTGCAAACACGACTGCCCTGACCAATATTATCCTGCGCTGATCTTCTCCTGCGGGGAATTGATCCTGAAGGATTAGCATCTGTTTGCACAGAGACTTCGAGGGATAACACCTTAGACAAACATTTGGTGCTATTAATTATCGGTTGATGAAGTGCGATCTTCTCCTCTGAACCCCAGGCAGGTTAAAACGGCTCTCTCTCGCAGTACAAACAGGAAAAATCCTGGGCGGGTCTGTATTCCAGAGTTCCTTTTCTCCCTTTCCCCCCCACACTCGATTAATATGTTTTTAAAGAACAGAGTTTGTTTCGAATGAGGTCTGGCACTCAAAGCAATATTACCCCGTGCCCATCTGGACACTTCCCTGCCAGCCTCTCGGCCACCCTGCTGATTTTAATTCTGGTTCTGTTCTTTTAATTACACGAAATTTAAACGAGAAACTGGTCTTTGGCATGCTGAGCATCAGCATCCAATATGGTCCTGATTGAATAGACCACTTCTGGACTGCTGCCCGCAGCGTTTTTTTTATCATTTCGAACATTTCCTCGTTTGGCGACCAGCAAGTCGGTTGCTAAGTGAAACCAGATGGCGTTTACAATCTCACTCCCAACTTTCCTTTCGCCGGAGAAGGTTGTCAGTGCTAGGATGGATTTCAAAGCTATTTTCCCGTCACCGTCACCACTTGTAATGGCTGCTAAACGGGACAGTTGCTAAATGAGGACTACCTGCAGCGGGCTTGGCTGGGAATGGCATCTTTCTGTCCAGAACGATCTGACAGCAGCTGTCTTACAAACAGGCCAGCTGTCAGCGTATGATTTGAAAGAATTAGAAGACATTTTCTTGCAATGATTCTTTATATAAGGCAGTCTCACGATCAGATCCTAGAGACTTGAAAAGAAGGTTCTTCTCCTGCTTCTCTCCTCTTCTCTTCTATTCTTCTCCTTTTTCTTCCTCTTCTCCTTCTTCCATTCTCCTCCTCTCCTTCCTCTTTCATTCTTCTCTTCTTCCTCCTCCTCCTCTTCCATTCTTCTCCTTCTTCCTCCTCTTCTTTCTTCTCCTTCTTCCATTCTCCTCCTCTCCTTCCTCTTTCATTCTTCTCTTCTTCCTCCTCCTCCTCTTCCATTCTTCTCCTTCTTCCTCTTCTTTCTTCTCCTTCTTCCATTCTCCTCCTCTCCTTCCTCTTCCATTCTTCTTCTTCCTCCTCCTCCTTCTTCCATTCTCCTCCTCTCCTCCCTCTTTCATTCTGCTCTTCTTCCTCCTCCTCCTCTTCCATTCTTCTCCTTCTTCCTCCTTTCTCCTCCTTCTTCCATTCTCCTCCTCTCCTTCCTCTTTCATTCTTCTCTTCTTCCTCCTCCTCCTCTTCCATTCTTCTTCTTCCTCCTCCTCCTTCTTCCATTCTCCTCCCCCTCCTCTCCTCTCCTTCCTTTCATTCTTCTCTTCTTCCTTTTTTCCTTCCTCTTCCATACTTCTCCTCCCTCTTCCATTCTTTCCTTCTTCTTCCTCCTCCATTCTCCTCCCCTTTCATTCTTCTCTTCCTCCCCTCCCCCTCATTCTCTCCTCCTCCTCCCTCTTCCATTCTTCTCCTTCTTCCTTCTCCTCCCATTCTCCTTCCCCCTCCTCCTCTCCCTCTTTCATTCTCCTTCCTCCTCCTTCTTCCATTCTCCTCGCCTACTCCTCCCTTTTAATTCTTCTCTTCTCCTCTTCCTCCTCCTCCTTCCTGTCCCCCGCCCCCCAGTTTTCAGCCGGAACAGCTCTTCATTTTCTTGGTTTTTAATAACCAGAGGGAGAACGACGCAAATCAATAGGCTACTTCCGGCAAATATTGGCCTATGGAAATGTATGCAAACAAGGCAGAGATGAGGTCTGGAGGGAGCGGCATATCGGGCGCTGGGCCAGCAGAAACATGTGTGCTGGGCCACACATCCCCAAGATTCAAATGAATGAGAACGTAAAGCTCAACAGACAGGCAGGTGATAAATCCTTGCATTCTTTCCCCCATTTGTGCAACCGACCCCTTCTTCCTTTGCCCGTCTCTTATCATCCTTCCGTGCCCTCCAACACTTTTGGCTGCCGTCTAAGCGCCAACATATTTTCGGCTGAACCGAAGCTGCACGAAAGGCGAGACCAACCAGGATAAATATTTGATGAGGCGACAGCAGCTAGGATACTGTCACAGACACACAATCCCTTTGCTTTGCATATGGCCTGATCGGATGACGGAACCTAAGTTCACTGCTAACCAGAGTTTCTCGTTTCATCTCCAAAGCTGGGAAGCGGTCATCGCTGGAGAAACGGAGAAGCTGAGGTCTGTTTCTCGCAACCCTCAGGAGCTGGACTACATGACCTCTATGTACCTCGTCTCGAACCTTTTCGTGAGGCCTTACAAAGGGTCCTTCCTATCAGAGAAAGCTTGAGTTTTAATGCATTCCATGAAAATTGCGTTTAAGAGTATTCTTTTGTTGCAAATAACGTGTGTTCTTCATCCGGCTGAGAAAGTTATGCAGGCAGTAAATAAGAATGAGATAATCTAAAATAATGGGAAGGTTCTGTTCTTTCTGTTGGAAGCCAACTGGATGACTTTAGACTCCTCCATGCAGTTGCCCGAAATCAAGTCCACCCATTTGGAGCAGAGATTTAAACTTTGATTTGAA